TATCCATTAAGCAGGGGAAATCCTATTTTAAAAAGCAGAAAAATTTTGCCTTACTCTTGCAAGAACGGACTAACAGGGTCAGCTACCCAGCTAATCTTCATAATTAAATACCGTTACTGTATAAGTGGATCTCGTTGTGAAAGACCTAGTACTGGATAATTTTGGGTAGAGCCAAAGAGTTTGAACTGTACAAGTTAACAATAACATTGATTAAATGAAAGAAAGAAGGGCTCCGGTGTATAGAGAAGACCTCACCGTTTAAGAAGTAACCCATAGAAACGATGGAACCCACTATATCCATTTATATTTATTACTTTTTTATTTACTATGTGTTTTTCTAGTATCAATACAATTTTTTTTATAGGTGAAATGCCTAGAAAAAAAGAAAAAATCGTGGTCGGGAAGGTTATAATAGCAAAAGCCATTGGAATTTTTATTTTATACATTGGAAGAATCCGTTTTGTTATTAATAGACTAGGACACGGGAAGAGAATAACTGAAAGAAAGGAAATCGATTAGTTATTCATCAAAGTTTCATTTATTCAATGACCAGAATTAAACGAGGGTATAGCTCGAAGACGTAGAACAAAAATCCGTTTATTTGCATCAACCTTTCGAGGGGCTCATTCAAGACTTACTCGTACTATTACTCAACAGAAAATAAGAGCCTTGGTTTCGGCTCATCGGGATAGAGGTAGACAAAAGAGAGATTTTCGTCGTTTGTGGATCACTCGGATAAATGCAGTAAATTCGCGAGAATAAAGTATACTTTAGTTATAGCAAATTAATACACAATCTGTACAAGAGACAGTTGCTTCTTAATCGTAAAATACTTGCACAAATAGCTATATTAAATAAGAGTTGTCTTTATATGATTTCCAATGAGATCATAAAATAAAGAGATTGGAAGGAATCCGTTGGAATAGTTTAAATGGAGTTCCCTGGAGAATGAACTCTGGGAAGGTAGAGTAGAAATTAGTATGATATAATATGATAAAGTCATCAAAATGAAGAAACACGTTCAATAAAAAATATTTATCTCCTTTCCTCAATTTTTTTTTTTTTTTTTTTTTTTTCTTTAGTTGACTCGCTTCTTTCAATTGTTTCTCATTATTTAAGAAAAGGTAACAGAGATAAAATACGAGCTTGTTTTATAGCAATAGTAATTAATCGTTGTGTTTAAGGTCACCTATTTACCCGTCTAGATAATATTTTCCTTGTTCGCTAATAAATCGACTAATTAAACTCATGTTTCTATAATCAATTCGATCCCCCGATTGGATCGGAGGCAAACGCCTACGAAAAGATCGCTTGGATTTAAGAAGGATTCGCTTGGATTTATCCATGGTTTTGTTTATTCCTTATCCGGAAAATCCCAATCCTATTTCTTAATTCTACATCATGTTTGATCCGATCGAAATAGGATTGGGTTTGTTATATTTAAATAAATATATGTATATATAATATGTAATTTTTCATCTTCCTTGGAAGACTGACACACGAGCGGTCGGTTCGACTATTTCTTTTATCTCCCCATGAATCGTATGTTTGTAACAACAGGGACAGAATTTTCTCAATTCCAATCGACCGGGCGTATTGTGTCGATTCTTTTGAGTAATATCTGGAAATGCCCCTGATTCCTTATTAACACGATTTCGAAGACAACTGGTACATTCCAAAATAACGGTTACTCGGACATCTTTACCCTTGGCCATGAACCTCCTTTGGTTTATGATTCACTCAATTCTTTAATTTTCCGATCCGAAGCAAGGAAGAATAAAGGACAAAAAAAAAAAAAAAAAAAAAAAAAAAAAAAAAAAAAAAAATAGAAGCAGGTAACTCGAAATCAAATTATAAAAGAAAGATTTCGTTGCAATCAATATAGTAATAATAAGTAATATAATGATTTCTAACTATATTTATAATTAAGAATTGCCGTACAGTATTTTCAGTTAAGTATCTTGTATGATATTGTTGCCCAACCATCACATTTTATTTCCACTCTATTATTAATATTAATTTAATTTGAGCCTGGGCCCGAGTTCATAGTTTCACTGAGGGCGAAACCGCTTCTTTTTCTTTGTTTTTTTTTTTAGAATAAGTTATTCTAAAAAAAAACAAAGAAAAAAGAAGGCAAGGGTAGGGATTAGTTACAGAGATTTGATTGTATCTCTCTAATCTTCTTCCCCCTTCTCATATCAATAACTAAAATGAAAAAAGGGGAATATATCAACGCATCCGGAAAAAAACGATTGATCTCTATCAATAAACCTGCCAAAGACCCGAACCATAAAGCACTTACTACCGGTGCCACGGAGAGATATGTTTTTAGATCTCGCATTTTAAAAACTCCTCTTTCTTATTCGTTATTGTAATTTTATTGTAATTTGTAATACATAATGGTAATACATATATGACCAGATGTGTATATGTAGTTAATGACTGACCGCCTGTATTTGTACGCGGAGTCCCTAATTAAATTATGAAAGATACAAAATAGATATTCTACCTAACTGAAATTACTAAAAAAAATATTAATTTTTTATGGTAGGTTTCATATTTAGTTTTACATACTTTATAATAATATAAGTCTTTTAATATATGATATGTTTGTTATATGATATGAGACCAAAAGAAGAAATGAAAGAGAATTTTTGTATATCAGGAGGAAGTAAAGATGTGGAAAACAAGACCGGATTCTCTCTACAATGACACTGTAGACCAATGAAAGCGGCTTACCAGTGGGGCGCGTTTGTTTTGGGTACAAAATGCCCGGTTTCCAAATCCTGTCCCCACCTATTATTATCTTAATGAGCCTTAAGAGGGATCAATTGAGATAATTGGACATACATAATAAACTTTAATTTTATGATATATATGCAAGATGAAATGGGGTCACAAAATCTTAGTGTGCTAATGATAATAAGGCGCTCTTAGTTCCGTTCGGTAGAACGTGGGTCTCAAAAAACCCGATGTCGTAGGTTCAAATCCTACAGAGCGTGATTCTGTGTTTTGTTAATCGCGTTAGGTCGAAAATACACTTAAATAATTGAACAGCAATATAAATTTGACCTCCCGTGGATTAAAGGAAGTAGGAGGTCAATCAAAAAAGAGATGTTAATTAATCAAAGGTCCAATGATCACCACGTCTGTATTGTAAATATGCAGTACGAATAATCCGGCCAAAGTAATAGGAATTAGACCTAAGACGATTCCAAATAGAAAAACTTCAATCATTTCAATTGTTTGAAAGGGGAAAGGGGAGGTAATATTTATCCTTAAATTAATCTGTATTGACTATAAATCTCAATGACAAAGATTGGAAATTGATACGTTAAGTAACTGTAGAAGATATGAACTGCCATAGAAAGATTTTTTTATGAATTGTTCTGTTCATTTAATTAATTTCAAATAAGTCGTATCTTGCTCAGACCGATAAATAGAGAGCTGAGGTGATAGTCAAAGCTGCTAGTAGAAAAACCAAAATAACTAGTTATAGTAGGCATGAAAAGGCTAAATGAAATATGTTCTTTTATACATATGTTTTATAAAGCACTTCCCTAAGTTTCAATTTTTGAAAGATACGAGGATAAGCAAAAATACCAACCAATTGAAAGAATAAATTCAATTGAAAATGTTTGATTCATCTTATTATAGACGATACTAACAAAAATAGAGTAACATAAGTAAGAAATCGATTCATCATTTGTGACATTTACCCATGTCGCACTTTTGAATCAACAGATTCATCGGTCAACTCTGGAGTTGACTAAACTAATATATGCATATAACTAATACATGTATATATATATAGAATATTTAAATTAAAATTATAAATAAAGTAATAAAGAACTTTTTTTATAACTTTATTCACAATTAAACTTTCTTTGAATCACTATCACTGTGGAATAAATTGGAATCATTTTTTTTTTATTGTATTTTTCTTTCTTTTTTTTTTTACAAGTGCCCTTGTAATGCACTTTATTTTTTTACTTTAAAGTGAACTCAGTAGTAGTTCATTCACATAATCTTGCGATTGAAAAGAAAAAAGTATCGCATGATAAGATCAATCGAAACTAGGTTTTACATTTTTTCTTTCCATATTAGAAAGCCCACCCTTGTAATTAGGTCAAGAAGGACCCCCCTTTTTCCTTTGTTTGGGTCTAATATCTAATACAATAATGCGTGCATCACGAATATTGATTATTTATTTATTCGTTGTTCTCTTTCTTTTATTGAACTACTATTGTTACTTGTTACTGGGCGGCTAACCGATTCCTAAAAAAAGGATTCCAACAAAAACTTATACACCACCACAAAAAGGATATTTTTAGATGTAACATCTAAATTGAATCGTGAGAATATGACAATCTCCTTCATAAATTATTGGAAACCAACCCGTCGGATTCACATTTTACCTGATCTTCAGTTTCTAGTCCGAAGTCAATAATGAAGAAGAAACCCTTATACTACAGGAATTTGAGGAATTTTCTATTAAATGGTACAAAATTCTACATCGACAAGCAAACAAGAAAAGAAGAGAGAAGAAAATTATCTAACACTTCATTTCGATACTGATTGTGAAATTGCATTGCTGTGTCAGAAGAAGGATAGCTATACTGATTTCGGTACTCTAAAGACACCCTTGGTACAATATTGACGATCTCACAAAGATTTTATTTCAGTTAATTTCCATTTACTGATTTCATCTTTTACGGAATCGACCCCCCCCCTGACTGTACAAGAATATGCGGAGCTCAACATGTCTGGAAGCACAGGAGAACGTTCTTTTGCTGATATTATTACCAGTATTCGATACTGGGTCATTCATAGCATTACTATACCTTCCTTATTTATTGCGGGTTGGTTATTCGTCAGCACGGGTTTAGCTTACGATGTATTTGGGAAGCCCTCGTCCAACGAGTATTTTACAGAAAGCCGACAAGGAATTCCATTAATAACTGGCCGTTTTGATCCTTTGGAACAACTCGATGAATTTAGTAGATCTTTTTAGGAGGCCCCAATGACTATAGATAGAACCTATCCAATTTTTACAGTGCGATGGTTGGCTGTTCACGGACTAGCTGTACCTACCGTTTTTTTTTTAGGGTCAATATCAGCAATGCAGTTCATCCAACGATAAACCTAATCCGAATCATAGAGCTACGACACAATCAAACCCGAACGAACAAAGTGTTGAATTGAATCGTACCAGTCTCTACTGGGGGTTATTACTCATTTTTGTACTTGCTGTTTTATTTTCCAATTATTTCTTTAAAAAAAAAAAAAAAAAAAAAAGAATATCTCTTATCCCATTCGGAAAGATATCATCTCATAATTATCTATGGCTGTTTATGTCTCGAGCATGACCACTTGATAAAATGTGGAGGAAAGTAGGACAAATGGCCGATACTACTGGAAGGATTCCTCTTTGGATAATAGGTACTGTAGCGGGTATTCTTGTGATCGGTTTAATCGGTATTTTCTTTTATGGTTCCTATTCTGGATTAGGTTCATCCCTGTAATAATCGGATGAACTGAGTTGTAGACATGAAAGCATAAGAACTCAACGGGATCCCCCTCGAATCAGACAAGGAAAGAGGGGGTAGGGTCCCGTTGAGTTCTTAATAATCATAATATTTTTTTTATAGATGTTTCAAAAACCTCCACTTTTTCTGATAATGTTTTTGAAAAATTAACTTCGTTAAGGGATTCAGAACATCTGTTACTCAATAGTATCTGTCAATACTTAAAACGAAGAAGGAATCACTCTATTTACTCTTTTTGGATGACTCACAATTATATATACTATATATTTCTATCGATCAGATATCATGCAAACCCTTTCTATACTAATAGCATAGAACCTTACTCTATTTAATCTAATAAAAGTTAAATTTTTTTTTTTGAAATTGAAGAAGTTCTATTTGCTCAATAAACTTACCTATATTTATTTTTGTTTGTCCACTACCACTATTTACGTAATAAATCTAAAAAAGATTATGATAAACCTATAAAAAAATTTAAACTAAAAATAGAAATTTTTTACGAACGGGATCGAGAATCATTATTAATTCGACACAAGAAAGGGTTGTGGAAAATTCCGTTTCTTGTGTCAAGGACTAGTAGACGAACAATCCCCCCTAAAATCCTTTGTTCCTCTCATTTATACTTTGGTTTATATTCTCCGCTTATTTATCTTTTGTTTTGATTCTATTCAAATATAAAACTATTGATTCGTTCTATATCATACCGTTTGAATTTGGATTGAAAAAACAAATAAATAAAGAAGAGTTAAGTAAAATCAAATAGTCTTCTTCACAATATACTATGACCAGTAATGCGGTATAAGTAATTCCCGAAATCCGGTAGAAGAAAGAATATAAACAAGCAAAAATTTTTTGATTATACATAATTACATAACATAATTGCCAACAAAAATTTGTTTATTTTTAGAGCTTGATGTTGATAAATCCGCGGATCTAGAAATTCATTTCGGACAATTGAACCTTCTCAAACTGTTTCTTTTTAAGAACCAAAAAGATTTGTGCCAAAATAACAGATGCCAAGAATAGCAAAAGACCTTGGACACGTAATGGATCTTGAAGTACTATTTCCGCATCCCCCTGACCAAATCCACCCACATTAGGATTACTCGTTAATGGTTGATCAAGTTGGATGGATTCCCCCTCTGAAACAAGAAGTTCCGGTCCTGGAGGGATAATATCAACCACTTGACGTCCATCCGATGCACCCGCTATGGTTATTTCGTACCCCCCTTTTTCTTTTCGTATGATTTTGCTTACTATACCTGCTGCTGTAGCATTATAAACATTATTGTTACTCTTGCTCCCGTCGGGATAAATCTGACCCCTTCCCCTGTTCCCGCCTACGTATATGGGATATTTTAAGAAGTGAACATCTTTCTTAGTAGCGGGGTCCGGGGAAAGAATAGGAAAGGTGATTTCACTATATTTCTGACCAGGAACAGGACCTATCACAAGAATATTTTTTTTAGTGGGGCGATAGCTCTGAAAAGACAGATTTCCTATCTTTTCTTTAATCTCGGGCAAAATACGATCGGGAGGGGCTAATTCAAACCCCTCGGGTAAAATAAGAACAGCCCCTACATTCAAAGCTCCTTTTTTACCATTAGCAAGAACTTGTTTCAGTTGCAGATCATAAGGAATTCGAACAACTGCTTCAAATACAGTATCAGGAAGTACCGCTTGTGGAACCTCGATATCCACGGGTTTATTAGCTAAATGGCAATTGGCACATACAATACGGCCAGTCGCTTCTCGTGGATTTTCATAACCCTGCTGTGCAAAAATGGGATATGCATTTGAAAGGGGTGCCTGAGTTATTATATATCATGAGCGATACGGAAATGTATCGAGTAATCTCTTTCTTTATCCAAGAAAAGGTATTTTTAGTTTGCATGGTCCAATCATTGATCCCGAAAATTTATACAATAAAATTAGGCAGGTCGCTAGTATAGTTCCCTATCTATAATTTTGCTATTTACTTAAATATAAATAATTTTACTGGAATATTGGAGGAATCCCTTGGATGGGTAGAAAGAATAAGTACAATTTTGAATGTTTTGCTTATCCACAAAGTAACAAATATTATAATTGGATCGTTCGATCATTTTTCAGTCATTCATTGAATGATAAATCACTACAAGTGAAGGAGATACACGATTTAAATAACGAAAGATCCAATATTTAAAAATTGTATCTAAAATGACTGGAAAAGTAGAAACAAGACCGGATATAATTTGATCATTATGAGCAAATCCAAAATCTTTGTAGACAGAGCCAATCATTAGTTCCCAACCGTGGGGCGAATGGAATCCTATACATAAATCAGTTAATAAAAGAATAGAAAAAGCTTTTATTGTGTCGCTTAAGTTATATAGGAATTCTTGAACCCAAGAGTTAAGAATAACAAGTTCTTCATTACCTATAATAGAATAACCACTTAGAATAACGAAACATATTATATTTGTCGAGAAGTGTAAAATTGTATGCGTGCGATCCTCATTGTGCATCTTGATCAATCGGATCGTTTCTTTGTAGATTTCGATGCGAGGCTTTTGTAAATGTGCTTCCGGGTATTCCTTTAACATTTCGTCCAAACGTAGGAGTTCCTCTAAGTCTATGAATTTTTTTAGAATACTCTTTTCTTGAATATCATTCAAAAAGATTTCGGATTGCCTAGTATTCCACCAATTAGTAACCCAAGATTCCAGACTTTTATTAAATGAGAGAGAGATCCACCAAGGCAAAATACTATAGATGCAAGATATAGAAGGGAAATTAATACTTTTCTTTTTTGCCATTTTTTCGTCTGTGAATTTTTTAATTTTTACTGAACGCACCTCGTTCGTCGACTCTATACGATACTAATATTTCTATCAAGCATAAGTTCTATTACAAGTTATCGAGCCCATGAATCTATTTCCGATTTTTTTTTGTGATTCAGTACAGTGGTTAGTCCTTGAATTTAGAAAGAATACAGAAATAGAATAAGAAAAAGCCCACTTCAAATTAATAGTAGTCGGATTGCGAGACGAAAGAACTCCCGTTCTATCAAAATATCAAATATTTCTAAAAAAAAAAATTCTTTACTTTATTATATTATGATTTATTATGAAATGTTTTGTTTTAATATATGATGAATCTAGTATTTAGATTTGTTACTGAATTGAGTTAAGTGGGTTTACATACGCATAAAAAAATTGTGGACACAAACTATTTTGTTTTAGAATTATTTCGTAACGTTTGCTTTGGCTCGAATAAGCGTTCTGAAGAAACTTCAGTCAAGTTATGCTATATAAAAAAACGAGGATTCTTGAGTTTTTTCTCTCTTGCAAAGTATTCATTCTTCAGTTCCTTTTTTCAAAATACTTCAATTGGTACACGCAAGAAATAGGCCAATTCAGCAGCTTTTTGCTCAATTTCTCGTGGAGTCAAATTCTCATCAGTACGAGTCAAGGGAATGGCCCCCTGGCCTTTGATTTCCATATAAAGGACACGACGAGCATAAATACCTTCTTTAATTTCTATTCTGATGGACTGAATGTCTTTCATAAGGAATCGGAGGAATATGCGACGATTTTTTCCAGGAAATCCCCAACGAAAAATACACACTACGCCCTCTTTTATATCGAATCGATCATAACCACTACCTACATTCCACGAAATTGTGCACCACAAATAAGAGCTAATAAAAAGACCTGCGATCCCCATAGAAAGACATCACGATCCCTTGTGGAAAAAAAATTATTTGCTGAGAAGGAAATAAAGATATAAAAATTCCTACCAAAATAACTGGACGTTCCAACCAATAAAAACCCTAATGAACCTAAAAAAAGAATAAAGGCCCAGCAGAAATTACTTGTTTTTCGAGACCCCGCTATAAGTTCTATCCATATACGTTCTGATCGCCAACTCATACTATAACTAGACCTAGTTGCATTTTATTGGAATTGGGAGAATAACAAAAATAAATTTTATTTTACTTTTTTTGTTTCCGAAGTAACTCTCATCAACCAGCACTATTATGATGTGAACGTTTAGGGGTAATTCATCGAATTTCTTAGATCCAAACTAAAATAGTAACATCCCTTTCACATGATTTCCGAATACATATAGATATATTGACTTTACATTTCAGAAATTCTCCCCGATCCCGATCTATTTGAAAATAGTTATAATTCATTTACCCATAATATCATGTTTATACATACATAAGAGCTTATGCCCGAAGGAAGCCACATGTTATACCATATTCTACTAAATAGATATCCGTGTTATGATCCAAGTAAGTCTTGAAAAAAAAGATTCGTCCTTATTGTATCTAAAAAATCTTGTTTTTTTGAACATAAAGAGATAAAGAAGCCATTGCAATTGCCGGAAATACTAAGCCCACTAAAGGCACAAAATTGAGGGGAAGCTGTTGAGAGTTATCATAGAATGGGTACCTCGATTTA